ATATTATAATTTTATTTATTTTCAATTTTTTTATATATGTAAGCTAATATAAATTTCTCCCATATTTGTATATTTAATATTATAGCAATAAATATATATCATGTTATTAAATATTTAGAAATAAAAACAGTTACGAAGCGCTATACCCTACATAATGATCCTGCGAATCTTCATAATAAGGTCTAATGTATGCTGATGCATCATTATATAATTCATTTCTTTCATTATTTAGGTGACTTATATTATTTTTTCTATATGGAATGATATTTCGTAATTTATTACCTATGGCTGTAAACTGTTACATGAATGAATAATATAAAATATGTGTAATATATAAATTTATTATACATATATATGTAATTCATGACACTTGAATATTTATATGATTTATGTATATAAAATAAAAACGTATTTACTTTGTATAAAACACCAACAAGTAATGATGTTACTATTCCTCCTAGAAGGATTTTACCAAATATTTTTAGAGTATTGTGATTTTCATTCATTAACTGGGGTTCTTCATGTGACATCGTTTTAATGGATGGAAATACAATATGATCATCTTCTTCTGGATAAATCATTTGTTCTTTTAATTGAATTTCTGTTGGTGTGTCTTGATTTTGTATGTCTTCACTTTGTGTGTCTTCATTTTGTGTGCTTTCTGTTGAATTGTCAACTTCTTCTGCCTGTATTGTATCGCATCTATGATCATTTAGTAGTTTTGTGGGGTTACAGTTATCAAATGTGTAAAATTTTTTTACTGGACATTTTTTAGTTACATTTGTAAAGGTACATTCATTCTTAAAATTATTGTATAGATTGCTTATATCAAGGATGTAATCATGGTATTGTCTACATTTTTCTTTATCAGTTGGATACGTGTTCTTAATAGTGTCAAAATTCTGGCAATAATCAAATACTTTTTTTCTCTTTTCCCAATCTTCGTGTGTATAAATATAAGGATCTAATTGACAATTGAAAAAACTGTATAAACTATTTGTACCAGAAGAAGTAGCAAATATATTACTAATTTTATTATAAATCGTTATAGCATCACATTGGTATATTTTACACTTTTCTACTAATTGTTCATATAACCAGTAACTTAACAAATTACACAAATCTGAATTGATCATATACTGATCGTGGTTATTGCGTTCATTTATTAAATATTTCCGTAATTGTGAACAGAAATTCTTAATTTCTGGATAGGCATCTAATTTATTTTGTTCTTCTCTAGGACTACAGAAAATATTATTATCTTTCACTCTATTAACACCTGTATCCAACATATTATAATACTTTACAGAAGTTAACTCACCTTTGTCAAAAGGCTAAAAATAAAAATATAGAAGTGAATAATTGAAGAATATTGATATTTAAATATTCGAGCATAATTGTGTTATCTATTATATATCATGAAATAAAACACCATAAGAAATATTATAATTTGTTAAAATTTCTTAGAGCAATTTAAAATATTTACATATGTAAAACCTTCAGCCATTATTGCATTCTATATTATGTTGCATATACAAAATTTAAAAATAATTATAATTCCAAAATAACAATATTTCAAAGCATTTATTATAATATATTTTATGTGGGAACTCTGAGAACATATATGTAGCTATGTAGGCAAAATATTTTTTAAGTGCAATATTACAATTAATAATGTACATCCATATGATATATTAAAATAGAATGATATTATCAATTGTAATTGTTATTTCTTTCTTAGTTTTTACCTAGTAGCAATTAGTTTATTATTATATAACAAATAATTGAGCCTCAGAATAATGAATTTTTATTACATTTATAAATTATATCTATGTATTATACAAAATAAGTACAAATAATTTTATGTAATATAGTTTAATAAATAGATATTACACAATATAAGTAAATTATATACTTTTACGTGAGTATATAGAGGATATATCAATTGTATAAAAAAACTATCATTTGAATAATTGAACATATATGTTTTTTACACATATATAAATTTAATTTATACATCAGTATTATTAATTACATGCTGAAATTTTTTAATTTTGATAATTATTGTTTTTTTTTTTTACTTATTATTTAATATATTGTAGATGATTAACATAGTAAAAAAATCTTGTAAAATAAATAATTAATTCTATATTATAATGTGATCAAATACATAATATATTTGAGCTTACTACGTTAATATTTTCTCTCTATTAACTATTATATTTTTTTTACATTAACATTATATGAACTGAATTTATATTTCTGAATATTTATAATCATTGATGTCATAAGAAGAATAATATAATACGTGTAATACATATTTCATTATATTTGTAAATATTATTACAAATAAGAAAAAATATATAATAATTACTTTGTATAGCATAATGAATAGTATATTGGCATTTATTTTTTCCTACGTTGCTATTAATAATGATAAAATTAAAATGAAATTAAATATTTTTGTATAAATATAATACAAGTAATAGAAAATATTAAAAAGCTTTTTTGTAAAAATTGATTTGTACTATATATAATATTTTTCATTTTTTAGGAAATATTATAAACAAATATATATTCAAATCAATATGTTCTATCTGTTTATTTTATAAATATTATACTTTTACAAAATTATAGTTTAATTATATATTTTCCTGTATTTATTGATATGTGAGATGCTGCTTTCGCAGAAATATTTATATGTTATATTTAGTATTTTTTTCCACTGCTAAGATATTTTTTGAACAGAATAATTTCAATAATATTAGAAAATTATTTTTTATATTATTTTATATCAGATTATTTTCAACATTTTAAATCATAAATTTTTATTTATAATACTAATTATTTTATATAATATAATTTATATAATATGCGTAGGAATAATTATGATATATATAGATATCAAAAGGAAAAATATAATATATCAAAAATATATAATATTTAAAGGTTCTTATATGCATTAAATTAATAATGAACTTAAGGAAATATTAAAACAGAACATATATATGTACATATATATATAAAAAAAGTGATACAAATATTATTTTTTAAAAGGAATATAAAAGGATACACATAATAAAGAAAAATTATTATTTTCATATTTTTAGCCTAAATAATAATAATTAGAGAACATTCCTTGCACATACATAAGCGTTATAGTGTAATTAAGCAAAAATGTTCATAATTGTCGTACATACAAGATCATATGTTAAATCATAGTTCTATATATTTTTATATACTTTTAGAAGTGCTTGAAAAGTATATATAAGTGTGTGATTGAATTATTGGTTTATTTGTGTATTTTTTTTTGATTCTCACATATTTTTATTTTTAAAAAAATTAAATAATTCTATATTTTATAAAATATAATTTGCATATTTATATTATTACGTGTAATTGTAATGAAATGAACTTTATGTAATAACAGATTTTATAAATACTATAAAAAACCAATGAACTTCTTATTTAAGATATAGGATATAATATTTAATGCATCATTCTAATGAACTCATTCCTTTTATAGTAAATAATAATTAAATATTTCTAACACATATGCATAATATTATTTGTAATTATTTTTTAATACAATAAACTATCATTAATATTACATTTATGTTACTAGCAATTTTTATTACATTTATTAATAGATTATTGTTTAAAGGGTTATATTTAATAACATTTTTTGAATGTCATTTTAAATGAATATTAATCATAATAATTTTTAATATATAGAAATACATATTATTCATAAAAAAAAATGAATCAATGATTATTTCTTATTTCCTAAAATTATATTTCATCATATGATCATAAAATTAACATTAACTGAAGCTTTGTTCGTTTCTATATTTACCTTAGTAACAAAATTAAAAATTCTGTTCTATATATTATTTTTGTTTTGGTTTTATTAATTGCATCTATTCTAGAATATATATGAATAACTGTTTAGTTACATTATAATTTAGGGGAAATATATTTATTATTATTTTTGTTCTAGTTTGCTATTTTAAGCAAGGAATAATGTTCGTAAATTATTAATATATAACGGTCTTCATTATTTTTAAATAAGCTGAAATTATTAGGTTAATAATGGATTAAATTAATTTTTTAAAATTGTATATGACGTGAATATTTGATTATTGAAATTATTTGTGCTTTATATAAAAGGATACTATTAATTGAAATACCTATATGTAATGCAGTAATATATGTGACATTTAAATTCTGAAAACAATAAAATGGAGCAAAAATAAAGTGTTCAATATATGTTATTTATTGATGAACTCCTATATTATTAAAATATATTAAATACAAATTATGCGCTTGTTAATTTTATATAGTTTTAAATTCATAATTTTATTATTAGAAAAAGAATATCTATTCAGAAAAATGTTGTTCATCAAAATATATGAATTTGTAAAAAAGTGAATAATGATGCTTTTATTTTGATGTACTGTGTTATATGATTAAATTTATTTTTCTTCAATGTATAAATTATTTTATCTCTATTATTAGAATTATACGTAGACATATTAATATTATTAAATACTTGATTAGAGTAATTACTCGTTCTATGTAAAATAAAAGAAATATTTTGATTCATATTTAATTTCTTTCCCCTAATATAATAATTCATATTTATAAAATGAATATATTCAAATAATTTTTGTATATGTTTATTATATTGCCTACATTTATCTTTGTTACTAAATCTGTTAATTAAAATTTAGTAAAACATACCTATTTGACAATTTGTTTTTTATGAATGCAATGTGCTCAGCAGAATATATATAACATTTAATGTATTAAAAGTTTTAATAGAATAATTTGATCTGTAACATTGAACTGTACAGTGAGTTCATATATTATACATTTTCAATTTATATTTATATATAAATATTGTAATATATGACATATATTCACATGAAAAAGTTTTTAAGTATGTAGAATATTTATAATATTTAAATAATATATTTTTATATATTCATACATGATATACTAGATTATGTTTTTCTGCAAATGTTAGATTCTCAATGAATTTATATTTTGTTCTGCATTCTATGAAGTGAAAAAAAAGATTACTAAGAATACTTTTCATTTTAAAATTTATTTATAATTAAATATATAAATGAATGTAATTTTAATATAAGTACATTTTTTTAATGTTATTATATATAAAGAAATAATTGTATATATAAAGTATCCAAAGGTATGTTAACTAAGGAAAAATAAAGTATAAAAATATATATAAATATTAAAGATTATAAAATTAGAAAATAATGCACATTATATTATTTACTATACAATTATTTCATATTATTTGTAAAAAAAAAGTTTATTATATATAGTAGTATAACATTTCAAAAAAAAATTTTATAATTTACAATGTTACAATATATATTACATATATGAATTATAATAAATTATAAAATTACAGTAAATTAAAAATAAGTTCTCATTAAATTAAACACAGTTGCTAAATATAATCATGGAATTAATTTAAAAAACTAACATACATGAACTTTTAGCATTAAATTATATTAAATCATATGATCATATAAATAATAACATTGTGTTATGTACCCGACATATATTATGGAATTAAGAACAAATATGTTCATATAAATTACAATAATTTCTATTAATAATTATATTTAAGTACGTAAGATATCATTAAAAAAATAATTAATGTAATGGAATATTAATAACTAAATATGAGACCTAACTATTGTGTAAGTCCTATTAATAGAACCCCAAATCATGAACCCTAAAAATAATATTATTCATTATAATATTAATAAATATATATATTATGCATTATTTTTTCTTATAATTTTTAATATCATAAATGTACTAAAACTATTAATTTCAAATGGGTTAAATTTATTATCTTATATATAAATTAAATGTTATTCAAAAAAGAAAAATATATATAATGAAGAATTTACAGGATTATAAGCAATATTTTTATGATAAATAATATAAAAATGTTCCATCAAATTGTAATAAATATAATTTTATTGTGTAAATTTAATGCACCAATAAAATTTATTAAGGAAGAAGAAACCAATTTTTATAGGCACAATCACATTACCAAATGTACAGTATGCATTTATATACTAAGAAATGATTCATTATTAAAACAAATTATAAAAGTTTTTTTATACTTATCTCTCTTTAAATAACATCGCGTATAGTATATGACTATGAGATTTATTAATAAGATGGATTTTCTATATTTAAATTAAACATGATTTTTTGCTCCTATTAAATTTTAATACAAATGAAAATCATTTACATTCGAATATCTATTTACATATTATGGAGAAATGATGAAAAGATACATGCTGCATTTTGTTTGAATATTTGATTAGATTTTTTTTATTAATTGAAATGTTTATGATGATATAACTTAGTAAATATATATTAAATATATGATTTAATATATTAATATTGATAACTCAAACTGTGAAGTAATTAAATTTTACATAAAAAATTAAAGTA